TCTTCCCTCCCTCCCCCCCTCTCCCTCTCCCTCCCCCCTCTCCCTCCTCCCCCTCTCACCTCCCCTCCCCTCTCCCTCCTCCCCTCCCTCCCTCCCCCTCTTCCCTCCTCCCCCTTCTCCCTCCCTCTCCTCCTCTCCCTCCCATATCCCCCTCCTCTCCCTTCCCCCTCCCCCTCCCCTCCCTCCCCCCTCTCTCCCCCTCCTACCCCTCCCCCCGCCCTCTCCCTCCCCTCCCCTCTCCCCTCCTCCCCCTCCTTCTCTGCCTCCCTCCCCCTCTCCCTCCCCTCCCCCTCTCCCTCCCTCTCCCCCTCATCCCCCCTCCCCTCTCCCGCCCTCCCCCTCCTCTCCCTCCCTCCCCCTCGCCCTCCCTCCCCCTCCCCCAGCCTCCCCCCTCTCCCTCCCTCCCCCTCTCCCTCTCCCTCCCCCTCTCCCTTCCCTCCCCCTTCTCCCTCCCTCCCCCTCTCCCTCCCCCCTCTCCTCTCCCTCCCTCTCCCTCTCCCTCCCATCTTCCCCTCCCTCCTCTGCTCCCTCTCCTCCCTCTCCCTCCCTCCCTCTCCCTCCCTCCCCTTTCCCCTCTCTTAGTCACAATTCCTTTAAATATTCACCTGGCCTTGTTTTCTAGCATTCTTCACTTGATTGAATTGATGAATTTCTTGAAAGTTTAATGAAATGTAGTTTTTTTCCTGTATTAATGTTACTAGAAGGTTCTATTGTATTTCCCCAACATAAGCAGAAAATTGATTGTAATACTTTTTAATGCAGAACGTGAAATGGCTGTAGATAGTGGCAGTGGACACCAGCCTTTGGGAGATGAGCCAATCCCTACTCTTAGCTGGCCTCCTGAAAGTTTTGATCCAACTTCCGGTGATGAAGACAGTTTAATGGGTCTGGGAGGACCTAGTGCACCGAGTAACAAGCCATCTGCTAGTGGTAAATAATTCTGAGTTGCCATAAAGTTAACTGTTTTACTTATTACAAGTGTGTAAATACTATTATTAGCAAGAGAATGGTTTTATAGTTTAATTAATAATGATTATTTATTGTTAATCATAGACTAATCGTTTTTTTGGGAAAGCTCTACAGTATGTTAATGCTATCAATTGTATTTAACTTACGTACAGATAAATCTTATAATGGGTTTTACCTATTTGATTATATCTTTAATATATAAATAATTGTGTTGTTTTTGTAGGATCAGGGGCTAGTGCTGCCCCAAGTAATGCCTGTGTTCTTGACCCAGCAGAACGCAAGAACAATGCTCTAATAAGCCTTCGTTTACTTTGTGAAAGTACAGTATTGTCTCCACATCTTGTAACACTACTTGGCGCAAAGTATGTATTGTCTTATTTGCTTCGGAATGTTAGCCTCAGAAGTTTAAAATAATTAAAATAAATTATAAATTAATAAAATTCTTTCAACAGAGATGCTCAAGGCCAGACTCCATTTATGTTGGCTGTGGCATCACGTGCATATCCTGCAGCTCTTCTACTATTGGATACCATTCAAAGAATTACTAGTAAAGATGATGCATCTCGAAAAACTGCTATTGCTGCTATGGTGTACCCAACCGGATCTAGTCCAGACGATTCCCCTCTTCATGTTGTATGCTGCAATGACACTTGCAGTTTTACATGGACTGGCGCTGAGCACATTAACCAGGTTATTTTGTTTTTTATTCTAGAGAATTTAAAATACAGTGGAATTGGCTTAGCATGTTTCCCGTTACATTTTCGTGCTTGGCATGTCTCGGCATGTTACAGTTTGTGTCCCAATTCCATTTAATTTCTAGTTTACACTATTAACATCATTTGTCGTAACATGTTGTGTGATTCAAACATTTTCTTGGTCTGCAGCACAGACTTCAGTGGGTGTTGTTTTTGGGGTGCTTGAGGATACCAGATACTAGGGGCAGGGAGGGCAAACATTGGAGGAGGGGTGGGGGGACATCGGAGATATCTGTTAAATAATAAACATTTATTATATTGTATATTATTTATTTACTGTAGATGTGATACTATACAATATTATTGTTTAAATAATTAGAAAATGCAATCAAATAAATATTAAGTCAATTTGCAAAATGAAGGAAGGTAAATGAAAACTGTAGGCCTTTGGGGGGGGGGGGGGATGGCACCTCTGCCCCCGCCCCCTTCCCCTCCCTGGATTGACCAGCGCTAGATATAGTAGAGGTTCTCTTCGAGACCATCCAGAGTATTTTCAGTCTTTTTGATTACTAGCCCACAGCCAGAAAAACATTCTACTAAGCATCTGCCATTTTTATTGTTTGATATTATATATTGATAGTCCAAGGATGATGGTTGCTCATATTATTTCCTGTTAATTTGCATTATTTTAATTTTTGTTATTTATGTACATGTGAAATAGTTTCTCTTATTTCAGTGTTATGTGAAAACTAAAAATTGATCATTTTTGATCACATGTTTCACTGCTTAGGATATTTTTTAAAAAATCTTGATTTTTTTTAAGGTACTAATGAGATTCCAATGTAGCTTTTTGTAAAATATTCATACAAAGCTTCTACCTTTTTTTCATTTGTAAACATGTTAATTTCTGGAAGTCTCCAAGATGCCCAGGTGTAATAAATGCAATTATATTTTCAATTTAATGCCATTAAATTGTATGCACAACCCGCATTTAACATTAATAATTTTTCGATTTTTACTTTTTACTGATACCTAAACGTCATCTGATTTGCCATCTGTTGTGAAGTGCAGCCAATTGCATTGTAAGAAAACTGTTAACTGACATAATGACATTGAGTTAAGGTGGAGGTATACTAAGTTTGCTGCTCTGAATCAGAATGTAATGTAGTGGGAAAGTCCCTCATCCATATAAATTTTGCCCCTGCAGATAGAAATCGTGTGTTATATGAGTTTTAATTGTATATGGGACTGCCCATAAATTAAGTAACTCAAATTTTCATTATTTTGGAAACCCCCCTCTCGCCCACATCTGTATGACCTGGTTGAAGCCCTCTAAATAGTTAAATCTTGTGACCCCCCCCCCTCGCAATTACATTTAGTAAAAATAAATTATAAAGTAGAAACAGCTAGTCTTTAATTTTATTTTTCTTATATATTAAAATTTATAATTGAAGTCAGAATTAGTTGAAGGTAATGTTTTTGAACAAAACTGAATAAAACAAATTATTTCAGCAAATGTTTTAAAAATTTTAATAATAAATATCAGCATTACGGAACGCCAAACTATGCCCCCTTCCCCTATGTAACCTAGTGTAATTCTACCTCAAACCTCTTCCCTCTTTAGCGATGTTATTTATGGATTACCCGTGTGATAAAAGTCAAGCAGGTTTGAGAAATATAATTGATGCCTGGTTAATTTTATATTGTTTATTCAATGAATACCACTAAACCCCTGAAATTAAGAATTTTAACGACTATTCCAATTATGTGGTGAATTCTGTTGTCATTGGTGTTGCAGAGATATTACAGAAGATCTGGATAGGAAAATGGGCCGTGATGGAATCCCTAAAGTCTTGCTAAAAACAATGTTTTTTCCCGATTACTTAAAATCTTATTTGATAGATCATTATTTGAAGAACTGTTTCCAATAGGTTGGAAATCATTTATAGTACCTACATTTAAATGTGCTAGCAGGGAATGTATCTCTAATTACAGACCTATAATGATTTTAAATGTTGTATCAAAGCTGTTCGATTCTTTAGTGTTCGATTCTTGATAAACTGATAGTTATTGTTTACCCCTTTCTGTCAGATACACAATTTGATTTTATGCGTAGGAGTAATATAGTCTAACTTTCTGAATTATTGTTGCTATATTCTTAATGCAATGCAATGCAATGCAAGATTCTTTCCAAGTTGACTGTATCAGCAGAGCAGTTGATTGAGTTAACATATCTATTCTATTTCATTAACTTCATCACTTAGGTATTTGGGGACCTTTTTAGGAATGGTTCAAACAATATATGACTGGGTGGGTTCAATATGTCACGATTGGGAATATTATCTCAAATCCTGTCATTGTTAATGCTGGAGTTCCTCAGGGCTCCCACTTGGAATCTATTATTTTTATTATGTTCATCAATGGCATTTGTAATTGTTTGATGGTGTAAAGTTTGTTTGCTGATGATTCGAAGATATTCAGGCTTATAAAATCATTAGATGACAAAATTAAGTTGCAGTGTGTGTTAGATAAGTTTGTAAACCCTTCAAACATGACTTTTAATCTTTTACCTTACTACAATTCAGTTTTCATGTAGATAATAATTTTATGTCTTCTAAAGTATTAAAAGAAAAAGTCCAAAGGTGGGTTTCCAATGCAAATTTGACAACAATATATTTCTTTTCTTTTATTGTTGTTATAGCATTCTCCTTCAATAAACTTATGCTTGTAGTACCTGGATTTACTTCTGGATATTTTATTTTATCAATCCCGTAATTGCAGTACTACCACAAAGAATTGTGCATCAGCAACCTTTATATCATTCATAAAAACAGGCGAATGAAATCGAATCAACTGCTGATGTGAAAAGCATGAAAAACATGTTGGTATACAAAAAGTTAAGATACTTCATTTAACTGCTAGCTGGCGATCACTTATTAAAATATGTTGTGTAACCCTGGTGACGCATTCAGAAGCATGAATGGCATATGCTGTCGTACACGCCAAAGAGTGACTTCATGAAGGAGGGCATATGCCGTTGTATACGCCTGACGGGTTAAATAGTGAGTATGTCCTGAGAAGTGTAAGTCAATTACATTTTCTAGAAGTAGAAGATTGATTGATGGAGAGTATGCTATTAAGTCTATTGTAATTAATGGTATGTTTTCGATTAGGGGCCTTGGTGTGATCCTTTACTCCAGGATGTCTTTTAAAGACCACTTGGAGTTTACTGTCAATAAGACCAATTGAATATTGGGATTCGTTAAACGGACTTGCTATGAACGACACTCGATGCAGATACTGTGAATTTGCTATTGATAAGATCAATTCTAATGTATTAAACTGTTTGGTCACCATGTTTTGCTAATGCTATTTTTAGAATTGAACCTGAACAGCATAAGTACTTTAGACTAGCAGCTTATCATATGGGTGTTAAAAACCCTTTCATAAATCATGATTATCAAGATATCTCTTTGCGTCAGAACTTGTATTCACTTGGATCGAATAGGGACTATGGGGAATGTCTTGTATTGCAGAAATGATTGAAATGTTGTTTTGATAGCTTACTTTTGTTGAATCTCGTTCTTTTTAAGGTTCCCACTGTATACACTAGGAAACCACAAAATAATGTTTTGTGAAGTGTTTTTGAAGCTTTCTCATACAGAAAATAACTCCATCAGTAAAATTTATCATTTTATTGATAAATTTGATATTGATCTTTTTATTGAGAAAACTTTTGAATGTGAATTTTAGAGCAAAATACTGGAATTTGAATATTCAATATGTTATATTTATTGTATTTTTATAATTTTATAGTTTTTTTTTAATATTTCTTCAAGTATGATGTACTATACTGTGATATTGAGTTGCTTTCTTATAAACTATAATTTTCTTGTGTATTCATTTGGACAAATTGTCTGATAACAAATAAATAAATAAAATCAATGCCAGTTCAATAATGAGGCGAGCCCTTTCTAACTCCCATCCTACAAAACCAAAAGGTATTTAAAATTTTGTATTTTTTAAAAGGGAAAATGCCAAGGGTGGGAAACAAAAGTAAGTTTATACCATTACAATTATGAACTAATTGAAAAATAACTGGGAGTCAAAGTAAGGAGTTAAATTAAGAATTAGAATGCCATGAGTGAATTGGAAGAGCAAAGTTGGCAATGGATATGATGTAATGGCGATGACAAAAAACAAAGCAAGGTGGCACTGAATTGGTCCGAAGAAGGAAACTTTCATTCAGCAAACCTGCAGTTGAAGCCACGTTTTGAAAGGCAAAGGAGAAAGTTTTGAAATAGAGTTTGAGAGTAAACTGTTGAAACTGGTCAGTAAAATATAAACAGTAACCAGCCATTATCATGTCGTATGTAACAAATTCTCGAAGCAGCCATGTTGTTTTCATAGAAATTTAGGAGCATGCCTTTCCCCAAACCTAACAATAAGAAATTTACATCGTATGTTTCTATCATATCAATGCTTATTAATTTTTCGTGGACCCATAAAATCCTCCTTCCATCTAAAAGTACTGTATTCACCCACCTATAGGACAACCCCTTGATTTTGAAGAGGCCTCAGAATTTTTTTTAGCTTTGAACTAATTCTTACTATTTTGTCAAAATAAAATTCCAAACTGTCTTATGGACTAAAAAATTGCCTTGTGGATGAGAATGTTAAAACTTATTGCTAAACTTTTTTTTCTCTCCCTTAAAATTATCATAACCATGGTGTTTGTCACTACCCTCATCATCGTCAATGTTTCTTTCTTTTTTGGTCCTCCTTCCATGCTGCGACATCTGCTTTTTTAGTCTCCTGAAAGTTTTGCGCATTAAATTTGCATTGTAAGCCTTTCATCAGACTCCACCTAAAAACATTCCGTTCATTGTATCCGGATTTTCTACCTTTCCCACACTTGTTGGCATCTGTTATTTTAACAGTTCAAAGGCACTCACCAGATGTTGAACAAAGATTCCGCGCGTCCTCTGAATGAACATCATAACAAAATCTCAGCTTTCATTTTCATATTACTTCATTTGATATAATGTCATTTCTTTGAGATTCTCTCTTTTCCGTCCTGTTAAAAAAAACTGTCTGAATTACTAGACAAATTCACGATGGATGCCGAGTCCTTGTCTGAGAGCAATGTAGGCTTAATCCATCCCTGCATTTTTCAACTGAGATATTTAGGGAAAAAACTCATCTTATATTCAGGTAAATACAGTATTTTTAATATAATGTGGGGAGAGCTAGACACAGGTCATGATAGGTTTAAAATAATAATAATAATAATAATAATAATAATAGGGAAGGGGATGTTATAAGGTCTCAAACTGTCATAAACATTAATTATTTTTTAAATGCTCTCTGTTGCAGGACATTTTTGAGTGCAGAACATGTGGACTTACAGGGTCTCTTTGTTGCTGTACTGAATGTGCTAAAGTTTGCCACAAAGGTCATGATTGCAAGTTGAAACGGACATCACCTACTGCATATTGTGACTGTTGGGAGAAGTGCAAATGCAAAGCCCTTATCATGGGGCAGCAAGGTGCACGTTACGATTTACTGTGTCGACTGGTAACCGAAACAGACTTGGTTACTCAACCAAATGGCCGGTATGTATTTTTGTAAATTTTTTATTTTTAAGGCTGTTCAGCAAAATATATAAAATACTAATATTGTGCAAATCGCTGAATATTTACAGAGGTGAAAGCATCCTACTATTCCTTGTGCAAACTGTAGGCAGACAGTGTGTTGAGCAGCGCCAATACCGAGCATCAAGACCTCGAAGTGCATCTGCTTCCAGTCGGAAGACTCCTTCATCAGATGTTGGTTAGTGTTTTGATGTGTTCAGATGTTGGTTAGTGAGTTGCTTTTAGTTTGTTAAAATTGCTCTCTTTGTAACAATTGTTTCAAGCAATTTAAATATGTTAATCGACATGGAGATTATTGCCTTGATATGCATAATGTAAATAATAGAAGAGTTCTTGAAACTTGGCCAGATATGACATTTTAACTGTTGCAATTGGTATTTCAGAACCAGATATGCCAGATCATGACTTGGAGCCTCCAAGATTTAGTCGACGTGCTCTTGAGAGATTACTGAATGATTGGTCAGCTGTCAGAGGGATGATCATGTCAGGTTCGTATTTATAATTATAAATTATTAGTATGTGACTTACAAATTTCAATTCCCAAATCAATTTACCTTTGACCTATAATTGCTGACACTAACAGTAATACATTTTTCTGTAATATTATTTCATATATTTCCTTTTAGTTCTGTCGAATTTATCTTTGTGAATCGTTTTTAGATATCACAAACATGGTGTAGTGTTGGTGTGATAAGTAAGGCTCGCAAGTTAATCCTGTTTCAAAAGGAGAAATATGCATGCCAATATCCTCTAACATTTGTAAAATTAAAAACATTTGTAATATGCTCCCGCAATTAAATTTTTTGTATTCCTGAACAATTACAAAACTTTTAATTTTAACAATTAATTCTGCTTTTGTCTCTGCTTGGTATTCCAGCGATAATTTTTAAAGTAAAGTATAATGATTTCGCCTGTATCATCACCGAAGTATCAATGTCACAAATTCTTTATCAAAGAAAAGTTATTACATCACACATTCATAATCAGACAAATTGTTGTCTGGTACCAGTGCCATGATATCAACTATAAGAAATTCACAAAATACTGCTGCAACGAATGAAAGACATGTCCACTATCATGAATAGCATACGCATTTGTGAGGTACATTTTTCGGTTTGGGGGACAAATATGCATATTAATTGAAATTCCAAGAGAAATATGCCACATTAAGAACAAAAACGTAATGAAATACGAATTATATTGGAAATATAGAAATATGATGCATTAACACAAAATGCACTAGATTTGCACTAATATGCTATATAAAATCACCGAATTGGTTTGATTGTGTTTGGTGGAAATTTGATAATTAGTCAATTATAAAGCTCATAATTAAAAATGATTTTTCATTAACTTCCAAGCCTTAGTGATAAGCATAAATGTTAAATATGTACATATACAGTTTTTTTCTTATTTTATTTAATGGGTTGAAGATCTCTTCACATAAAAAATACATTATACTAATTAAAACACATTGCTTTTACAACAATGAAACACTTAACATGTGCATAAAACAATTACTCCTAACACAAATGGTTTATACTTGATAGAAATAACATAAACATCCTTGATACAGTACAACTTGCTTTTACGTTCTTTGAATTTTCTTTTTCCAAAATTTTACAGTTGTTTTCTGGTCCCTTCAATTTTCCTACGTTCATAACGCTAAATTATCTTTACTTTTACACTTTCAAAATTAACTTTTTCCCGCAGTTTTCACTTTTTGAAACCATAACGGTTCTGTGAACGCCATTTTTGTGTGATATTTTTGCTATCTCTCGCTGTGTTCTCTCTTGCAACGAGATTTGCCTAGTCAGCTAGGGTTTGTGGTCTTGTTAGGAGTTCATTGATGGTGGAAAGAGTCCTTTTCTGTCATTCATTAGCCCTGGTGCAGTTGTAGTGTTGTGTGCTTCTTGCTATAGCGTTGGACGAGTATTGAAGCTGAAGTAAGTGTTGGGTATTGTAGTTTTGTGCTTTTTAAGAAAGTTTTCATTTTAGTAGTTGTTAATATTGCCCTGTAATGGATTTAAAAAGAAAGAGATGAGTCTTTCTATTCAAGAAAAATCCAAAATTCTAGAAGAAGTTGAAGTCCATAAAGGATCACGTGTTGTGTTAGCTAAAAAGTTGGGGATATCGATATCCACTCTGAACACGATAGTAAGAAACAAAGGACTCAATTATTAGATGTGTAAATGAAAGTGGACATTTTTGCAAGAAGAGGAAGTATGCCAACTGTACGAAGTAAGTAGAGCTGGAGGAAATTCTTAAGAACTGGCACATGCTTCTAACATCCCTCAGTGTGTGGCGTATTGTTACGTGAAAAAGCCCTAAACGTTGCAGATAAGCTTTCCTTTGAGAACTTCTCTGCATCTAATGGCTGGCTTGACTGATACAAAAAGCGCTACAATATTGTTTATAAGCTTGTGTGTGGAGGAGGAAATACTGTGCCAGAATAAAGAATTCGGGTATTGCAAGAGGGGAAACTGAAGGATCTATTCACCCAAGGACATTTCAACATAGATGGAACTGAACAATTTTTTGTGTTCTTATGAACTAAACTTTCACTTTAAAGGCAAGAATTACCATGGTGTCAAAAAGTGTAAACTAAAGCTTATTGAAACATTGGGTGCGAATGCTGATGGGTCTGAGAAAAGTCCTTAAATCCTCGATGCTTCGATATTAGAATTGAATTCTTGCAAGCAAACAGCATCAAGTTCCAGCCAATGGCTTTAGGAATAATCCATGCTTTTAAGACCTACTACAAAGAATTGTTGTGAACGAGTTGATTAGGTTGGATGGAGTCAGGGAAGGACACATTGACTTTCAAAATATCTATCCTCAATGCACTGCGTTATATTGCAAAGGCATGGAAGGACGTGAGGGAATCCACCACGTGCACGTTTCAGAGAAGCTGGCTTCTTCCAAGCCCATGAGGAAGAAGTTAGTAAAGAAGAAAAAGAAGCCAACGGTATTCTTATTTCTGCACGGCAGAAATTAAAAGTAGATTATGAATTTAATCACTTCCAGCATTTTGACGATGAACTTGAAACTGTACAATCATTGTCGGTAGAAAGTATAATCAATTCAGTGCAAGAAGAAAGTGTCAGTGACAGTAATAGTGATTTTGATGATGGTGGCAATAATGGTGATAGTAGTGTACGTACTTGTGCAGAAAAAGTTTCTGCAATAAACACCATAAATAATATATTTCTGCAGCAGATAGTGATGTTAATAGTTTTGACCATGTGTATGAACATGAAAAGCAAGTTGAAAGAATTCACCAGAAGAAGGCAAAACAGTCATCAATACGAGATATTTTTAACAAAATATTAGAATTTATGTATTTTTATTTAACGTATATTATTTAATGTTTAAATATTTAATAAAAGTGGATTGTAAATTTTCAGTGTTTTATTGCACATGTAAGGGTTTTCCTCCTTTACACTTTCCCGTGATTTAAACAATTATTTTGTGATCCTTTGAAAAGCGTAAAAGAGGGGTTCTACTGTATCAAGCCAGAAAACTAAAACCCTAGCTTTCTATGGCAAAGAAAATCTTCAAGCCAAAATAGTAATAGTAATAGTAAAAGCAATAATGGAACAAGTTACCACTTTTAAATATCTCAGAAATTAAATTGGATTTAACAGGATTCAGAAGAAAAAATTGGAAAAAAGAATTCAATTAGATATAGAAGAAAAATACAAAAATGTAATAAAACAATGGAATTATAGAGAGACATTTTGGACATGTGAGAAGAGAAATGATGATGAGAATTTATTATAAAACATCAAAACCAATGCTATAATATGGTTCAGAAATGTGGATAATGGGCATAAAGGAAACAAGAAGGATTCAGGAGCTGAGATAAAGTTTCTAAGTGCAGTGTTTGGAGTAACAAGAGAGGACAAAATTTGAAATGAAACTATTAGGAATGAACTGAAAACAGGAAACTTCGCATAAAAAAATTACCATAGGAAATTGAGAAAACACAGGAAAAGAATGGATAAAAGACTTCTACCACTCGTAGCATTAGATGATTGATAGAATGGCAAGAGACAGGCTGGCAAAAAGGAACAGGAACACTTTACCACATGAAGGAATACTGCTTTACTACTCACTAACAGGACAGGAGCAGCACTCCTAAACCAAAGGTGTTGTTGATGATTTTATTACATGTGGAAAAGTGTTTTTCCGCTATTAATTTGAGGTACACAAGACATGAAAAAGTCAAAGAGATTTTATTTTGTTAGAAGAAAGCTTTTATTTTGTTAATGATATTCATAGAGTAGATAAGATTCATAGATATTCATAAGCACTAAACTGTATTTTAAAAAATGTGAATATAAATTAAGGCAAAATCAATCAAATAAAAATAAAAGGCCTGGTAGTAATATTCCCAACATGTGTCAACTTGTGTTATTTGGACTCTGTACATCATAGATACTACTTTAGAGCAAATTTTTGTGTCATACGAATCAATATCTACTAATACATTTTAAATATGGAAATTTATATTAAAGTGTCCCTGTTCCCATGTTTTTTAATTATTTAATTCATTTTTAGGGGTGAAGGAAGGTGTTATCGATCCTCAACCAGTGTATGAGGATCAAGCTTATTTGCAGAGCCAAAGTGGCACAACATTATTGGACAAATTTACATACTGCTTACTTGTAAAATGTAGTGCAGAGGTAAGGCATGCTATCTTTATTGTTAATTATATTTTGCTGGTAAATATTACAACTTTCTACAATTTAGAAAATGCAATGTCTGCTTTTACAAGATACTTTGTTTACCATTTTATCAACAGAGAAGTAGTATTTTAATTTGTAAATATATATTTATTAAATGGGTCGTTAAGAAATTGATCAGTAAGCTGTTCTGGTTCTTTTTCTTCCAGATGTTGGATACTCTGCTGACTACTCTAATAAGGGAACTTCAGAACGATGCTGTCCCTGGTCGTCAGACTGATGCAAAAATTGTTGCTCGCAGATTTGTACGTTCTGTTGCAAGAATTTTTGTTATCTTTAGTATTGAGATGGCTCCCAATACATCAAAGCGAAGAGGGTAAGTTAATATATTTGACGTTAAGGAAGATATTACATAATGTGTTCAGTTCTGTTAAGTGTATTAATGTTGGCTGTGTTTTCAGGTTAAACAGCATGTCTCAGCCATTAGTAAAATGCAAAAGAGTTTTCCAAGCTCTAATAAAATTAGCAGTGGAAGAATTGTGTGAAACTGCAGATTCCCTGATTGCTCCAGTTCGCTTGGGTGTTGCACGGCCTACAGCTCCTTTCACTCTTGCAAGTTCAACTATTGATGTCATTAATGTAAGTTAATTATAACATCAAGTCTCATGAACATTTTTTGTGTTTTTTCATAGGTGAAAACCATTTCAATATGGTTTTGTTAACTATACAGGCAGTGTATAAGAAACTCTTGACAGTTCAGTGCACTGTTGCCACACATTACTATGCACATGGCACTACCTACATCACTGATAAATCAAATCTCAAAACAATAACACTTACTAACAGTCAATGACACATCTTATCACATTCATAACGTTGCCAAAGCCGAACCTTATCCTCAACTTCGTGCGAGTCAGATGAGCTGCAACACACAACTCTGGCTATAAGAAAGTAAATAAATCCTTGCAATCTGATTTCTTCGGGAGCATGTCACATTCATACTGCAGCACATGGCGAGAGAACTGTCAGTTGCTTATACGCAGTCAGCACTGTAGTTACTTTCTTATATCACACTGTAAGTTGAAATTTATTGTTTTCTGTGATTGGATGTTCACATATTAACTACACCACAGTACTTTTAGGCAATGTTATTTTTATGCCTACACCATGAAAACGTATTTTAATTTGTATCTCATGTGTTCTAAGACGCTTTAACTACTTACATTATAAAATAATCTGTGGGTGTTTGTGTATGTGTGTGGTTTGTGGTTTTGTTTTCCTCTTTTTCTTTGAAACACATTTATTTCAGAAAATGTTTACCAGAGTACTTTATAGATTGGATTATATTATGTAAATGAGACTTTTACCTTGTTGCAGTTAAATTTAACTATTATTAGATATAGAAATGCTTGCATGTATTGATTCTGCAGAGACTTACTCGACCATTATGTCACCAGGGCTCAGAAGAGTTATTCTCTGTGGAGCCTCTTGCACCTCATTCAGGCCTGCTAGGAACTGGTCGAACTCTTACCGGAAATTTGGCTGGTGGAGGTCGCAGTGGAGAATCAGCACGGCCTCTTGGCCTAACACCTAATGTTGTTCGTGCTGTTAGAGCAGCTGTGGCCATGGAGTTAGAAGATGCTGATACTACATTAGAAGGTATCTGGTCTCATCTAAAAAAAATTAATCATTTAAATTTCATATGTAGTGTAGAACGTACATGCTAGTTCAAAATTTGGTATTTCTTCCAGCTACAAGTATATGGTCAGTGATAAAAATTACTTTTAGAGGGTACAGTACTCCTTCAAAGAGTATGCATTTGAATTTGACATATTAAAGCCAACCATCTTCCATACATGCTCTGTTTGTAAATTAGTATATGCAATGGTTTATTTAGATTAGAAATGGTTGAGTTAGATTTTACAATGGATAAATTCCAAAGCCATAAATTACTAAGGGCAAATAGCAATAAATTGATACCACCAGGAATGGAATTCATGTTTGGTAAACTGTCATGCTACTGGAAGTTCTACCATAACAATGCTAGTGTTTATAAAACGCATGTTTAATGCCAAATTCCTACAGTGTGTGCAAAAAATTCCTACAGTGTGTATCTTTAAAATGTCTATATATGGTCCGTTCTAACCTGTAGATGATTTTTTGTCAGGTTCTAAAACAATTTAGTATTGCTGAAGACCGCATCGCTCTGAAAAGTGTATTCTTCTGCCAGTAATATAGGCTGGTGTGCAATCTGATATTGCCTTAGTGGTAGTCCAGTATGTTTAGTTGTGGTTTTTAGGTATAGCTTTCATGAGACATGTTCTTCTGATAGTGTCACTAAAAAGAAATTTGGAGTATTCTAGTGTATCTCCTGGTTATGAGCAGAGTGCAGCATTCACTTGTTCTTAAATTATCCCCACTTCTTGCAAAATAGGTAGTATACTAACCGTGGAATTCACTCGCTGTTTTGCCATGTTACTCTGCAATTAGCACTTCTTCCTGGTTTTACTTTCATCTCGTGCATATTTGAGGTTTGAGTATGCCAAGGTATAATTTAACACAGTTATTGGCAATTGTCTCCACTGAACAGACTGCTGTTGACTGGATGGTGAAACTAAACTTTGTTGTGATGGAATTGCCTTGCCTTTTCTGTATGCGAGACTCACTGCACGAACTGCAAATTATTTCTTTGAAGTATTTTCATGCAAGAAAACCAATATAGGGAAGTCCTGTAGGGAGTGTGTTCATAGCGATCACAACACTAAAAACTAGTTTTTTTTATTGCGTGCCTTGCTGTGTCCAATATTTTAGTGCATTTTTGCTCACATGGCAGTGAACCACTTCCTTCACTTCGTAGAGCCTGAAAATGGGGTCCACACAAACAGTCAGAGTGAATGCTACTTCTGACATGATTTCGAGTAAACCTACCAAATTTCCCTTTCACTTGTTAGGTTGGTAACACTTCGTGGAAGGGGTATTTTAGAACTAGTGAACATCATTCTCCGCTCATAACCAGAAGATCGCTAGAATCTCCAAATATTTTAGGATAGAATCGTGTCGGAAAGCAAATTTAACTCCTCAAACAGATGGAAACAAACAGGCCATAATAATACTGAAATTCAAAGGGGATGTGTTGCTTACTTTTATCATGCATTTAATTAAGCATTTAATTAATTGACTAAATTTTAATAAAGAATTGAGCAAGTAAACAATGTGTCTTATCCCAGGAGTGCCCACAATAGGTAGACTTGCGCCGGTGCCTGCAATGTATCTCTCAGATATAGCTGCAACTTTTTTTTGAATGTGATCTAAAGGTATATTGACTGAAGTATGTATTTTATTTAGCTTGTACATGTCCCTCAATACCATTGTTAATAATCCTTCGCAGCAGAAATCTTGTCTAAATACGGTAAGAAAAGTAAAAAGTGACCAAGAACATGGAAAAATCATTAAACATCCTATTAAATAATATTAAATACAATTTCCACAGATAATTTTGGCATGTTCTAAACAAACATATTTTACATTTTTCACAAAAATATTTAGAAAGTCAGTCTTGTGTTCCGTTTTGCAAGGTTTGCATTTTTTTCATTTCCTTATAGACATCTCCTGCACAATATCTTTCTCTTCGGTAAGAAATAGTGACAGTCAATCCTAGATAAGACGATTGATTACATTTTCCGTTGGCTCTTCTCATGGATACGGCTGAAAATAATGCCACGACATGTACCGCTTATGCCAGGAGCTCAGAATGCATTAGCACCATTACATGCAGCGTATCTGACTGATCCGGTTCAGTTTTCAACATGCTCATGGAAAGTTATTTCACGAAAGGATAAAAATAGAAGGTCAAGCATTCTCAGAAAAGTATAATGAAGGAATAAGGAACTTAAAATTGCTGTGGCTTGGATTTCGCAGATCCATTGTGAGCATTCCCGGGTTAAAAAGGAAGTTGTAAAGGTACTTTTCTTGCATTCTAGCAACATAAATTCTTTGATTTCATGTGAGCATTTTCCAGTTTCTGATATGGCTTAAATAAGGGAGTAAAGTAGCTCAAGCATAAGCGAACAAACATGTGAAATGTTACTCTGTCCATACCCCTCCATTTGATTTGGCAGCCAGGAGTGTCCGGGGCTTGGGTGCCCTTGGAAATGCCTGGTATTATCAGGAAAAATTTGAGCACTGGAAGCATTTCAGACCTAGTAAATGTGTTTCTATTATGAAACTAGATTGTACTTTTAAAATTTATGATGTTTTATTTACATTAAATTTAGATGTTTATTACTGTCATAATTTAACTAGGAATTGAAAGTAACTTTCATGTGTGCTCTGTTTGGGACAATGTTCATGGAAATTTCTTCCAATATGTAAATGGTTGGAGAAACTCTCAGAAAAGTTTGGTAGAAACAAGAGTAAGCATGTTTTTTCCAAGTTGTTGCAAAGTGTGTAGTGATAACAGTACTTGATAAGTAAGATAAGGTGAGGGTATCAGATGCATGTAAATGTATATGGGAGATTAAATTTTGCATGAATATTTTAAAACAAAGTTCAGAGACTGTTCCTACTGTCAATTTTCAGTTTTTGTTGCTTATTTGTTCACTATTTTGGTTGTTTTGATTATACTACAGCATCTATGCTGGTGGAACTGAAATACCATATTTACCTGAATATAAGACTCAGAAGACTAATTTTGAAGAGGCCTCCTGACTTTTTAATATTTTACTAATTCTTACTATTGTGTCAAAATAAAATCAAAAATTGTCTAATTGATGGGAAAATGTTAAAACTTAGTATTGCCTGAGATACCACTATTTTCATGTTCCTTAAAATTATCTTGATCATGGTTTTTATCACTACTGTCTTCACATGTATCGTTGTTTCTTTCTTTTGGTCCTTCCATACTGTGTCATCAGACTTTTTTTGCCCCCTTAAAGTTTTTGGACTTCGAATTGGCATTTGCCTTTCATATGGAGTCACTTCAGAACATTTCATGTAGAATGAAGATTTTCTTCCTGTCACGCTCATATTCATTGCCTCAGATTCTTTAAAAGAATGTAGACATTTCTACTCTTGTTTCACTTACAATGACATTAGTTTATTTTCTTTTTATCGGCCTGTTCAAAACAGGCTACAATAGAAAAAATTCTTTCAATTGTAATTGTTGCTGGAAGGAAGCTGAGGTTAGACAATTTAAAGAGAAAATTTGTGAACTGAATGAACAAGGACTGCTCTCATAGCAACCTAAATAATTTCATGAACTGGCTAATGTTGTAGAGTCAAAATAGTTCAATTAATGAAATTTCTTTAAATTCAAATAATTGAATTTTTAAGGGACAATGTTCATGTTAATAGAAAAAAATTGTTAACTTAACCTGAGAAAAGGAAATTTTTGTAATGGAAAACCTAAAAAAAAAAGTAGGGAATTTGAAAAACTGGAAAGCGCAAGAACCCTGGAGTCAAAAAAAAATTTACATGACTAAACAGTCAGTGTGTTTCTTAAACAGCTCGGTACTTTGACTGGAAAAGGGATTTCTCCATTAACAATAATATGATTGTCGTTTTTTTTAGGCCTGGCTCCTGAGGATGCTGACATGGAAGGCAGTGAACAGGAGGATAACGCTGACCCACCACCACGAGGTTCTGTCGGAGGGTCGGGCCGAGTGGATAATGGGGAAGGGATGGGTGAGGTGGGAGAACTTGTTGGGGGTGTAGGGGGGCCTGGGGAAGATCCTCAGGCTGACGCAGAGTCAGACAATGAGTTGGACTTGCTTGCTGAAACAGAGAGTGATTCAGATGACAACCATAGTAACCAGGATGCAGCATCAGCACAACGTAGTGTGCAGACTGGGGCTACTGCAGGCTCTGACACAGGTGAGGTCTTGACCAATATTTCTTCTCAACGAATATGATCCGTAAGGTGTTGCTTTTCTATCGTTATAATTTTCTTTCAGTCAAACTCCCTTGCCTGTGCAAATTATTTTAAATTTTAATTTTTACACTGGGTAGTTTATTAATTACTAGTTTCCCTAGTATTTCTTTTTGAATTCTGCTATTCTATTTTAATTAATTGCACATCATCCTGGCTACAAGAGGACCGAAGCTGGCTTTCAGCTGGGATCAAAGCATGTCAGTGCAGCTGTGGTGAAGTTTTGAAGCAAATGTCAATGTCTAGGTATCGCATCCCTGCTGCTGTTCCCAGAGGACGACTCTGCTGACTCGAGCCAGCAAGAGGATGATGAATCGGAGGCAGGAGAGTCTGATGATCATGACACAGAAGAGTTTACTTTAGCTGAAGAGCAGCTAGAACGCAGAAGGTACCATTCTTCAATTTTATTTTTTTATTCAAGTAATTAAATTTTTATGCATATTATTTAATATATACAATTTGTTTTGATTGCAATATGTAGTTCCACTACTGGGCATGGTCATCGCAGTAACTTAGCTCCACAGTCAATGCAGTGGGCAATTCGAAACCGTGAAACTGGAGCTCGTGCTGGAGGTAGGGCTGTCATGTGTTCTTCTGGAGTCGTAATAATTTTCATCTATTTTCTAGTGAATTGTTTTCCATTTTAATATGGAATTACATTTCATCAATCAAAAGAATACTTGTAAATATAAATAATACATGTGATTGAACATGTCAACATGACCTTTTGGAATTAAGAGAACAGTAAATTAAATTAATTTTATTATTTTCTGATTATCCAGATTTCCTGTATTTTTAATATAGCTCATGTGAACTCAGTACTTGACAAATCAGCATGTAAATACATACTTCTGTGACTTCTAAGTATTGATAAAAAGTCGCCTGAAGTTGTGCAAAAAAAGGTGTATTTCTTCATTGGTTTATTAAATTTATTCATTGGTTCTTATTTTCTTCCTGGTTTTAAGATATCTCAGTGCTATTTTTATTGAACAAAAACCGGTTCAAAAGTAATATTTAGTGATATTTGGATTACATTGTTGGTGAAGAGAGTTTCACTACCATAAATTACTTCTATTTTTTAATGATACGGTTAAATATTATTTTCTGTTATGGACTGTTGTAACTACCATTTGCAATATATTGACTAAGAAATTTAACTTGCCATGCAGTCACTCTAAAATGAAAGAAAGTTAGTAGATTTTTAGATATTATTATTAATGTTTTTGTTATTTTTTGAAAGTCTCTTTCTGAAATTCTACCAAAGAACTTGTCAAAATATTACTTCATTAAAAAGTGAGATTAAAATACTGAGATTTTGAAGTGCATTGCGGAAGGGAGGCTACCTTTTAGTCTATAAAACCATGCAATTAGAAATATGGATTACATGGAGCTGTTCGTGTCAAGTTGCTTGAGGCATTGAGCATCATTCCATAAGAGGATCTTTACTAACTTGGGGAGAGTGGGGATAGGTGTGCGTGTTGCAGGTAGTAGCAGTTTGGTGTTTATAGACCCCTCTTCCTTGCGACGATCAACAACAGCCACTGCTGCTGTGGCGGCGGCAGCAGCTAGCCAAGAACCTGTGACAATGGCTACTACAGCCAGCTGCTTGGCACGTGCTTTTGGAATTGTAGTTCGACAAATTGCAGATTTATTAACAATGCTGCAAGATTACCATGCATTAGCTCCAGCACTACCCCGAACACTTGATATATCATATCAGGAATCCATCAATTTACAGGTAGATAATAGTAGAAAATTACAATTGGCATGTTTTTGAAAATATTTAAACCATAAGTCCTGAACTAAACCATTCTTGATGTAAAATGTTACCACCTTCGGTTTCTGAAGAAATTGTTGTTTTTTTAACACTAATATGCATTGCAATACGTTATATAATAGGCGCTAATGTATAAATACAAATTAATGAATGAAGGTTCTTGTGAGTACATTTCAAAATATATGGTAAAAATTGACCTCTTCTTTTCTTAGCTTTATTTGGAATACCACCTGAAACCAACCTGGGACTGGCTTCTTACTGTAATGGACTCAACAGAGGCTCAGCTGCGCTTTGGAGCATCTTTGACTCATTCTTCTGACCCTAATCATCCAGGCCACCCACTCCATCAGGCTGCTGGGCTGGGCTTGGGAGTTGCAGGAAGTCTTGGAAACCTGCTGGGCTCAGCTGCCCTTTCACTGTCAGTACTGGGTGGGGGGGGTGGTGCTAGTGGCTCGACAGCTTCTGCCAGTACTGCTGGCACCGCTCGAGCAACTGCTGGAACTGGAGGGCACCGCACAGTGCCATCTGCAGCAGCTGGAGGAAACACAGGGACACGAATTGTTGGGTTTGCTTCCTCTGGAGTGGATGCTCCAAGGACAGCACGAGAAAGGGAAGGTAAGCATTGTTCACTTCTTTGATATTTTCTTTTCTTTTAATATTGAATTTTCTAAATGGGTGTTCTTTGAGTGTTTGAGCTTTGTATGGTTCTCAGGTGCTATGTTGTCAAAATGAAAAGAGTTTTTTTAATAAGTTAGAATTCTTTGTAGTTAATTTTTCTTAATTGAGATATTCTAATCTTCTTCTTCTCTACTTTCCTCTATTCTCTTCCTTGTGAGACTTTATGATTGAAACATATAGAAATAATGCATGTCATACATAGTAGATTGAGAACCATCATGCTCCATGGCAAGCTTTGTTAGAAACAGAAAGCCTAAGTGTTGCTCATAACGTTCAGTTCTGCTGTCTGTAGCGGCAGACCCCCACTCTGCTCGACGTGAGTTCCTCTCTTACTGCTTGTCTTTGATGAGGGCTCACAATGCTGAACACCTTGATAGTCTGCCTATTTTGGATGTATCTGCATTGAAGCACATAGCGTATGTGTTCGATGCTCTGATCTACTACATGAGATCAGGAACAGAATCTCCAGATACAGAAGTTTTGCGTGATGGCCTGCCAATGGAAGCCTGGAACGACCAGGTAACTGAACATCAATTTTATAATGAAAATTAAATTATAAAATCCCAATGTTCTTCTTAACTTTGGATTTTAGACTAGACAAGGTTAAGGATGTGCAAAAGGCATATTCAAGATTGTTACAACAAATATAAACCTCTCTGATGATATCCAAAGAAAATAAATATGCAAACTAAAAGATAATACAACACACTATAAATAAGATCTATGTAAGGTAAAACCCTGCATATACTTTCCCGCAATTTTCATTTTCCTGGCATTTACAACAATTGTTGTTGACCCCATCCATTTTCGTATTTTGAAATGTTGTAAATATACTGCCTTAACAATAGTATAATTTCAGTTTTCGCACGATTTACAATAGTCTGTTTACCACAACTCCATCTGGAAAGCACTTTGCGTCTTGCACAATGCGCACTGTCGCTTCTTTCCTGCCACCTTCTTGCTTTCAATATCACCAACACAGAAAGACTATTGAAATGGTGCAATAATGATACGGTGAAATTAGTAACAATAATATATAACTTTGGACACTCATGCACAAAATGGAATAATTTTCATAATCCAATTAATGACAGTCAAGTATTAGATGTGCTAGTCAGAACAGACAGGCATTCAAATCCACAGCCATATATATTATCTTCATTTACAGTCAGATAAAAATGAAAGTAGTGGGAAATTTTTATTTCTAAAGTGTAAAATAAAATTCTGGAATAATTTTTTATTTGAGAACATGTAAAATTGAAAGCTCTAAAGGAAATTCGTGCAAAACACAGGAAAATAAGATTTTTGGAGAACTTCATAATGGGTATTACTGTATTTTATTTCTTGGTCAAGTACAGCAGTGTGCACTTTATATACACATAGATCAAACCTAATTTTCATTAAAACTTCCATTTATTGCAAATTACAAATCTTAGCTTATTAAAAAAAATCATTGTTTGCTCAGACATATTTTGCAATTTGGATTGTATAGAATGCAGTTCAAAATGCTAAGGGATTTTCTTATTAACTGATTCATACTTTCTATTAAACTGTTAACTTTAAGACATGAATGAAGAAAGTAATAATTATAAGTAATTTTTTCAAACCTGGAACACTTTCCTTTGTAGGATGAAAATGATAATGATGAGGCTGATGATGATTTGTCTCAATGCCCAACTGTGGTGGAAACGGATTCAGTTGACGAACAAGAATCTGTGAGAGGGACCAGTGGACCTGGCACATCGCTGGGAGCTGCGAATGGATCTGGCCTCACGTCATCTGCTGGTCTTAGTGGCAATGGAGTATCTTCCTCCGGTGCTGGTAAAGGTCGCAAGCATCCATTCCTCCAGCGATCTGATTCCACTCTGTGCTTGGGATGCCCTCCCCCTGACCCCTTTGACACACCCATGGCTGAAGCTCTTCCTCTGGCTGATCAACCGCATCTTCTGCAGCCCAATGCTCGACGTGAAGAGTTGTTTGGCATGCCTAAACAACCCATCACTGTACCTGCCTCAGGTAATTCTTTCGTTCTCTCTTGGTGAATGATCCTTAGTTTTTCATTTTCTGCAAATTTTATTGCTCGTGGAACGCCTCTGTATGATAGGAGGTCCATTTTTCTGGTTAAAATGTTACTCCAAAATCCCTTGTATTTTACTTTACATGCATTTCTCAGCTCTGTGATATATTGATGCATTGCACCTCTAAAACAAGTGGCCCATTTCCATCTCTATTGAGAGGTTAACTCCCTTCATTAGTTATCTCTGCACCCATTGTTTGTTTTTTACACATCTTTTGAGGAATTTGTTTAACAATTCTTTCGTGTCACTTTTGCACAAATTTCCATTTTCCCCATAAAATGTATTTGAATGATATTCTTTTTTATCGTCTCAGAATGCTGATAAGTGAGAAAAATCATTTATTAGTCTGAAATGCAATGAAATCTATGCTAAATACAAGGCATTAAAAAAATGAAGGTACATTTTTCATAGCATGTAATCTCATTTTTATAGGTACGAGTCCCCCTGGGACATACAATCCTCTTGAAGTTCTACCTACAAGACTGGGGTTATCAATGCGTACAGCTGACAGTGGAACCAGCTTGGCACCTCATGCAACCCCTACTGTGGGACCCTCCATGTCAAGTGCCAATTTAGCACCTCCAACTGCAATGACCAATATTCCTCCCAGCGATGGTGAAAGACCCACGATTCCAAATGCAGAGAATACTGGGACTCCTAAAGCATCAACAAGTGGTCAAGGAAGATCTGAAGATCAGAGCAAAGAAGCATTTGCAGGGTATGTACCTACATAAATTTGTCTTGAACCAGCATTACTATTATCTCTGCAGTGTCTACATCAGGACTCGTACCCTAGGTCTTCCTAGCTTCTTAAAAAAAAAAAAAAATAAAAAAAAATAAAATAAAATAAAATAAAAAAAAAAAAAAACAGGATCTTAGCCAGTTGCTGGTCATTGCATAATTGCAGCCTCCCTGCAAAATTATTAACCGGCATGACAGCAGAATTAGAAGTGAAGTGTGCTTTTATCTAGTTGCTTAGTGAAAGTTGGCATACATTGTGGAAAAACATAAATTCTGAAAACACTAAAGCAGTGTTTTAGAGCCTATACCTTTGGACAAGTAAACATGTTGCGGAAACTTTTCATCTTTGCATGCTCTTTTTTGAAAGGCATCTTCTATTATCTTGGGGAAATCCTTTTTTCTGAGTATTATTAATGCTTTTGGGACAAAGAAAATATCAGGAATTATGGTCCTGAAGTACCAGTCCACAATATTAAGAAGTCTCCGGAATAAAGGAAATTCTAGTTCATTTTTGAAAAATTTTAATAATTTGTGACAAAAATGGTTTTGAGATGAAGGTTTTTGAAGATGCAAAATAAGGTTTTGTGATCTATTGTGGTTATAGGTATATAATAAGATCATTTCACAAAAACACTATGAATTGAGTGTTAATATTCAAGAAAGTAAAAATGGTGTATATAAAAAATGTCTTTTATTTATTTTATTTTTATCATTTCAAAAATGCCAACAATCAAATGTGCTAGAAAATGTATAATTTCACACTTAAAAATTATGTTCCACTATAAAATCACATTAATGTTTTGAGAATTATTTTTATTCATAGTTTCCCCAAGGAAGATCCTCTTCAGTACTGCCATGCGTATTAGTTAAAAATGAAAACAAAATAATGTCTCACATTGTTGCAATAAGATTTTGCCTGTAACAATTTGGCATGTTGGCTTAATTCGGGAAGCAACCTCCACAACAGGCAATAAGGACATAGAATGACAACTAGACATTTCGTTGAAATGCTGATCAGCTACCCTATTCTCAGATTGTATACACATTGTGGTGAAAGATGTATAAAGTCAATGGATTGTTTGGACATCAACAATGAAGTATTTGCATGAACATTGTGATGGACATGATATTTTCATCAGCTTCTTGCGTGCAGGCAAAAGAAAGTTTTGTACTTGTCTTTGCTTGCAGTTTGAGGTGCTGCTCATGAGTTCTTTGGTTTCATGTGTATACACTTTTGTACATGACGTTTACTTCCCCAATTGACTCTTTAACATTTGAAACTTTGTAATGTTCCTGGCATGTTGCTTATGTCAAAAAGTGTATTTCACATTTGTGTGAGAAGGCATTGGATGTTAGTATTTTTATTTGCAAAACTAATGTCGGTGATGGTTTGCAAGGGCACTTTTTGGAACTACTTGTATCATTTCAATATGCCTCTTCATGAAGTATCCGTATTTCAAAATCAATGTATCAAATTGACTACACGTACCAAGGCATCTTTTCTTGATCAACGACCTAACGTCCTCCCTCGAGCAATAAACCCCTTAAAGTAAAAGCTTGCAGGGAGCACTTATGACAATATACCAAACATAACATTTTCATAGGCATGACACTGAAGCGATTTGCTGTTGAAAACAAACTCCTATTCAAATTTATTCTCAGAAAAATATTTAAAGAAATGGCTGATCCTTCGCAGGAGGCTGAGCTAACCACCATGGTCCCGATCCTTCAAAGGAGGCACCTCAAACTTCTGTGGAAATTTAGAAAACTTACAATGGTGAAAGTAAAAGATCCTGATGTATTCTCTGGTATTGCTTTAGATCAGGCTTCTGCTTATACTGAAGAAAATATTTCAGTTATAAGCAAATAAAGGCTAAAAGAACCAAACATCCTTTACATTCCTCAGAAATGCCTGGTAAAAAAAATTAACTTACAAGGAGACCAATTGTCATATTCCGTGCAACTATATTTTTTACATATTTTTACCAACTTCCCACATATCTTCAAGTTTAAATTTTATTTATAGTATTTTAAGTCTTCAAAAATGTTTGATTAGTTTCCATTTAGAGATTTGATAAGAAATAATTCATTATAATAAGTCAGGATTCAACAGTTCAGGTCAAGAAATTAACCTGTCATTCATTACACTGAAAAGTAGGTTCAATGTCCAATTTTCCAGATCTCATTGCTTTGAAAACTCAAGAGCTGATTTTGTAATTAATACCCCCACTACTCTCTTTTATCCTAGCCATTGGTTAAGAAGTATTACCCTAGAGTTGAGTTCTATTACCAAAATAGCAGACGTAATGCAAAAATTGTATCCCATCATGCGACTAAAGTCCAAAACAAAACATATGTGGAAAGTAATCTTCATGCAAGTGTACTCTGATTAATTTAAATAAATTATTTATTTAGCACTTTTTGTATAATTAATGAGAGTTCTTAATAATTATTAATGAGCTGCACTGAAATATTTTCTAAAAATTCATTTTCAGAAATAGTAATAGTCCATTTTCAGATATCTAGTAGTATTTAAAAAGTTAACCTCAAATTGAGAAGAGCATTTTACACGGGCTGGATTTACATTCAGTATGATTCTTGTGATATTGTTGAAATTTTGTGTACTAATGTGCTATTGGCTTTTTGCAGTTCTCGCTCTAACTTCGATGCCTTTGACCATCTTTTCCGGGAGATTGATGAAGAGACTCCACCTCCACTTCCTGATGCTCCTTTGGATGTAAACAGCGCTGTTGTGCCACCTCCTCCAGCTGAGGAAGGGCCACAGGACTTGTCTTTTAGCAAAGAACTTCCTCCTCCCCCTGCCAGCATGGTCTTTACTCGTCCCCACCAAGCTTCATCACTGAAGATGGATGTGGACAGTGAAGGAGGCGAGGAGTCAGCCACTGATTCAGAGTCTAGTTGCTTATACATCAAGCGAGCCAAAAAGAATCCTCCTCTGCCCCCAGCTGTGCCCATGGAGACAGATGTACCTGCTGACCTGAGCAAGCCTGGCCCTAGTGGTGCCCAGTTGGAACCAAAGCCAGGACCATCAGGACACAGCATGTCCACTTTGTGTTTGTCAGGTAAATAATTCAATTCAGAATAGTGGTCACTTGTGTCAGTGAATATTATTAAGAACTGGTGAAGTCTAATTAATGGTCCAGGATGTTAAATTTATTGGTATATTTTTCACTTGAATGTTAAATGTACTCAGCACCCAGAACAAATTATTTAATTGAGTATTAACACAAGTTGAATGCCTGTTACTGTTACTTCATTAAAACAGATCCATGACTGTTCATGGTAATATTTGTCTATCCTGTTGTTATAAACATGTTTTTACTGAATTTCATTGAAACAGTGTTTGAGCCTCCACTGCATTCTTCTGGCTGTCCACAATGACAGTCAATTGTGTAATTTCAATGACTGGCAGTAATCAAGAATCTGGAAATTAAAAACAATAAAAAAAGTTTTGATTTTGACTGAAAAAATAAAACATTTGATGGTTTTATTCTTCCGGTTCTCATGCTGCATGCACAGATTGTATTCTCGTTCTCATTACATCACTGCTTACAGAAGTTGTCACGCAACTGCTAGGATCCAAAGAAGTGACCACTTACTGTTAAATATTTGCAATTCATGTGTTTGGTAGAAATAGCAACTTCTTTGGTAGTTTTGACATGTAAAAAAAATAGTTGTACTGTGTATCCATATGTTCTGAACTATTGCAATATTCATTAAGATTGTTTATGTTAAAATACTTCATTTATTGCAGTGTTATACAACAGCCTTTTATTTGTTGTTCTTGATCAGTGTGACAACCATTTAGTGTCATTTTGTTTTGATGCATTTTTGCTGCCATTGACACTAGTTAGAGTTAATATTAATTAGTAAGCTTTTGACTAGGTTCTTTAATTTTGGCTTATTGGAAATAACAGTAAATTGGTGTCAATTGTGTAACTTGTAAATAAAGGTGCTTTTTCTTCAAAACTATGAATAAATTGTATTTAGATACTCACAAACAAAAATAATTATAATATTCAGAATTATATACACAAACAATACTATAAGCTCAAATAGAAATCTGATATTTGTTTGTTTTCTTCTTTTGGCTTGCACTGATTGTAGTCGAAACTAGTTCATAAATTTTTTCAAATGTAGTATCACCGCCATCTGCAGCAGAGAGGTATTCAATGTTTCTAATGCTGCAAATGCTTGTGAACAAGTAGTTTGATAGTTATCATCACTCATCTTCACTTTCGTCAGCATCTTCACTAAAGGCATTATTTGAAAGATAATCTTCCACTCTCTCTTCCAATGATTGTTCATCTGCAGTAAGAACTTCATTGTCCACTGATATAAATTCTGCAAATGAAGTTTCAGGCTGAATATTTCCCCAGCCCTCACATTCAAGATCAGAAACGTCATGTTCCACAACTTCCTCTGAATCTGCCAGAAAGTAAGCTTTTTGAAATTTGCGTTAGTGGACTGTTTTATTTCACCCCAAGATTTTGCAATAAAATGTGAGGCATCTAATATTAAAACCTTCATGTCTGCTACATCACCAGATTCAATTTTCTTAATATACTTTTGAACTAAATTTCTAAGTTAGTACTAAACTTGAAAATTATTTATGATGCCCAAATCTAGAGGTTGCAACATACGTATGTATTTGGCTGGGAAAAACTCCATCCTTGTGTTCTTTAAGTACAAAGTTTTGAGATGCGCTGGGCACTGTTCAATGAAAATTAGGTTGCATGGTTCATTCTTCATTGAAAATGTTTTATTGAGAGGATTCAAGAAAAATAACCTGGTTTCATCAATATTAAAAATGCTCTTTGCTCTTGCCAATTCTTGGAGGCTGGAATCTTTCTAGGAAAAAATATATTTTTATCTACACTGTTCGTTTCACCACATATTTCATATAAATAAAATTGAACTGTTTCTTCCAACCTTGAGATGAAAAGAAATTTTCAATACCCATCATATCAGCCGCATTTTTCACTTTTTCTCTCAAAACCATGCCATTAATTTGTATATTTGATGCCCTTGTTGTCTCAAACAACTTTTTTTAAGATGTTTTCCATTTTGTCATACTTTGAGTACTTTACTTATTTTCACTTTATAGAATTTTGTCCACTCTCTATTAGTTTGATTGTTTTTCAACACTTCACAATAGTACTGAGAGTTGATATGGATATTTCCAATTGCTTTGCTAACACAACACGTGGTCCTCGGAAAGCATATACTTTCTTCAAAATTTTCATTTTCTGTTCAATAGAAAAACTTTTGCTATCCTTTTTCTCCATTGCACTTCACTTCTTCGGCTGAATGTTTTCTCACAAATCTACTCTTCAATTTATTTAAAAACATTAGCCATCACTTTCACACGAAAACAAATCCCAGGACACAATGGATGCAGTACTGAATTGCCTTCGTTGCAGTAAATATGTGTGATCATTAAGGCTCGCTCAGACCACCACGACTTCTTTGCTCTCGGAGCAACAGTGAAAAAAATCTTTAAATATATTTACAATAAGTTATCTTCCTGCGATTTACAACTTGATATGAAGAGTTTTCCTGTCTTCTTCTTAATTCATTAATTCCTTTTATTTTATTTTCCTACTTTCTCGTCTACGTATATTTTACATCTAGTGCTGAGAAAGTTATGTAATGCTGCGGCAAAAAACAGCGATTTTTTTGACAGAAAAACTCAAACTAATACAGAAAACTTGGATAAATCCTGTTACAGTATGTAGTAAATTACTACTTATGTATGTTACGAACTCGTGAAAGCTTCGCATTCATTCAGATCAATTGAGGAATATCAATTTTGGAGAAAATCAACAGGCGGTTTAGGTGCTTGCGTGGACCACAGACCGGAAACATGTCCACTTGGAAAACAGACGTTTTCAGCTAAAGAAACAGCCGTCAATCGATTTTGTGCTTTCAAGGACCCATAAAACGGGGATTCAGGCTACACCATGTATTAGAAGTGTATATTGGAATAACATTTATCCACTTTTTTATTACCAGGGCATGTCAATAGGAGATTTTCTGACAAAAATCTTAGTTTCTGGCACATGCTTTTGCTTTCTCTTCTTATGAAGGGCAAGAAATTGAAAACAAAGTAACCATTGTAGTAAATAATAAAAGCACTTGCCAAGTCTATCGTTTTTCAACTTTCCTACATTTTACACTTTTTTCATCGGTCTCCCGAAAAGTGTAAAAGAGGGGTTTTACTGTACATGTATGTATGTATGTATGTATGTATGTATGTATCATTTATTCATCATTTAATTGACACTTTCTTTCCTGTTGTGTGCAGAACAAACATCAGATGAGAACCGCAAACTTCTAATGGAGCAAAATAGGGCACCAATCATTGTTTCTGCTGGAAAAGTCTCTGCAATTCCTGCATATGACAGCAGCAGTTCAAGTAGCAGTGCAAGTGGTTCTGGTAGTGTTTCTGACCTAGCTAAGTCTGAGGATCCCCAAACTCCTGCTATCAAGAGTGTTATTGTTAGGGCTGGTCCAGCTACTGCTACTGTAGGTCTTTTTGTTTATATTTACTGCAAATTTACAACTTATGTCTTTCCTGTCATTAATATTCGAAATTTCATTTCGCAGCCAAGCACAAGCAGTACCAGTGCTGCAGGTCCTCATCGCACTGATGCTCCCGATGTTTTGGTTGTGCCAACTTCAGATCCTCGACAGGGTGGTGAAGCTCATGGGCTCGATTCAATGAGTAATAGTCAAGATATATCAGCACATGTGACTGTTGAAACAAGTCGACCACATGATCAACCTACGTAAGTTGTACTACTATAATTTAATATTGCATTATGATTATTTCTAAAATGTTATCTTCAACATCATGTAATTCTTCCAAAGGAGACCACACCCTACTATTGGTCAATCAGTATCTCATGACTTATTATTGGGTCGTTGGAGGTTGTCTTTAGATCTGTTTGGTAGAGTTTTTATGGAAGATGTTGGTTTGGAACCTGGATCAGTAGTATCAGAGTTGGGTGGTTTTCCTGTAAAAGAGGCCCGCTTCAGACGAGAAATGGAAAAGCTTCGTAATGCTCAACAACGTGATCTTACACTCTCCAAGGTATTTGCTATTGTAATATTAATTTTTAACTTTCAAGTGTTGAAAAGCAAAAGAAAACAGATTTGAGTATTTAATCATTGCAGATTGAGAGAGATAGGACACAACTGATCATTCAGACCTTCAAAGAGCTAAATACACAGTACAATAATTATCATAGGCGAGCATCAAGTTCACAGCCACCTCTGGCAGTGAATCGGGTGAAAGTCACGTTTAAAGATGAACCAGGTGAAGGATCAGGAGTGGCACGTAGCTTTTACACAGCCATAGCAGAGGTAAGTTTATTTTCCTTTTACCTATTTCATTGTTTTTTGTATTGTCTTTAACCAATTCTAATTTGACTTACACAGGCTGTTCTTGCTAATGAGAAATTGCCCAACCTGGAGTCAGTACAAGTGGGTACTAAATATGCACAATACAATGTTCTCCAGAGACTACGGTCTCGTGAAAGGGGTGACAGTATTAGGAGACACACCCAGGTATGCTGTTAAAAAATTAAAATCATGTAATGACATATTCTTAAAGGTGTCACTAAATTTTATTGTGTTCATCAGTCTCAGAGGTCTCCTCGATGTCGTGAACCCCGAAGATCTCTGTCTTACGATGCCAGACCTTTCTCACCTCCTGGAGGAGCAGATGGTAGTGGAGGCAGTGCTGGAGGAGCTGCAGGGTCTTCCTCCGGAAACAATGACCATCTTACTCTTCACCAGCAACAGCTTGGAGAGCGTTTATACCCAAAGGTAATCATAAAGTGTTTCTGTTAAGTAGGATATTTCAAATATTAATTTTTTCCCTGGTTGTGATGTTTTAATGCTATTATTATTTATTTACAGGTTCATGCATTGAGGCCATCATTTGCTGGCAAAATAACAGGAATGTTGCTTGAATTAACACCTGCACAGCTCCTAATGCTTTTGGCTTCTGAAGAAGCTTTGCGACAGAAAGTGGAAGAGGCTATGGAATTGATCTTGAGCCAAGGATCTGAACAACTAGCCTCAGAAGCACTGCTAGGTACAGATCATTTGCAATGTATCTTCAAAAATTCTTATTTCATGGCGATTTTTGTTTGTTCTTAATTGACAGATTATTTCTTATATGACCTTCTTTCTTTTTTTCTCTCTCTCTCCAGATTTAGATGTATTTAGCCTCTCTGAAAGGGGAAAGAAGGTTGGAGGACCAAGCAGTGGTGCAGGAGGTCCATCACGCAACTCTGAAGTAGAAGAACAAGCAGAAGATGCTGATGATAGTAGTCCCTTATTCTACAGCCCAGGCAAGCGAGGCTTTTATTCACCACGCCAGGGGAAAGCAAGCTTTGAAAGATTAAATGCATTCCGAAATGTTGGAAGGTAAGATAAAGTTTTTGCAGGTTTGCCTAGATTCAAACATTGAAGTATGGATTCAAATAATCAGGCATTTTCTTTCCAGGCTTATTGGCTTGTGTTTGTTGCAAAATGAATTGTGTCCTATATTTTTGAATCGCCATGTGATGAAGTATGTGCTTGGTAGACCTGTGCGGTTTCATGACCTGGCGTTTTTTGATCCTGTGATTTATGAGAGTTTGCGGCAGTTAGTTGTTGATGCTGAGACAAAAGATAGCAATAGTCTCTTCTCTGCCCTGGATCTTACTTTTAGGTGAAATATTCCTGCTTTTTGTACACATTCGTTAAGGTAATTTGTTGGCAAAAACAAAATTGTAATATGAATGTTGATTTTACAGCATTGACTTGAGTGTCGAGGAAGGTGGAGGTTCTCTGGAATTAGTCAGTGGAGGTCGTGACATTGAAGTAACTGCCTCCAATGTATATGACTATGTTCGGAAATATGCTGAGTGCCGTATGATAAAAGTTCAAGAAAAAGCACTAGAGGTCTGTATTTAAATCTACTTCTGATTTACTCTTGTGAGCATAGTTCTCTAAACAATATGTCTTACAGGCTGTTCGAACTGGTGTCTTTGATGTTTTGCCTGCTGGTTCTCTTGATGGCTTGACTGCTGAAGATCTGAGGTTACTTTTAAATGGGGTTGGAGATATAAATGTAGCAGTGCTTATTTCTTACACTAGTTTCAATGATGAATCAGGGGAGTCAAGTGAACGGCTTGTTAAATTTAAACGCTGGTTATGGTCTATTGTTGAAAAGATGACTCACCTTGAAAGACAGGACTTGGTGAGTATCAAATATGACACTATATGTATGACTAGAATTTTATTTTCTTAAGAAATGTAGCATACAATTGTAATATTGTAATTCTTCAGAAAAGTATTGTTTAATTTTTTTTAATTAAGTTGTACATTTAATTAGAACTTATTTTGAAGCATTAATAGAAACAACAATTTTTATGAAACATAAACTTCATTGTTTCATCTTTTTTGTAGGTTTATTTTTGGACTGGGTCTCCAGCCTTACCAGCAAGTGAAGATGGCTTTCAACCAATGCCAAGTGTCACTATTCGACCAGCTGATGATTCTCATCTTCCGACTGCTAATACATGCATTTCTCGACTTTATATCCCGTTGTACAGTAGCCGTGCTGTATTGCGTCACAAATTACTGCTTGCTATCAAGACAAAGAATTTCGGCTTTGTGTGAATAACGCACCTCAACATTAATTGCACTGTTGGCTTCTTCAAGAAGGTCATCTTTCTTTCTTTTCTTTCTTATATTTCCGCTCACATCTCTCAATATATATGTTCAGTCTATTCGCACAGAATTATTTTATATAGCAGAGAAATCCAGTCTTGTGGCGTTCTATTGGACAATGCATTCTGCTACCTTTTAGTTGTCATTATAGTTTTGAAAATTAGTGAAACAATGTCTCCTTGTTTATTGTTTTCATATGCCTGTATGTGGTGAACAACTATGAAATAAATGACCAGTCTTTCTGATATATGGAAGAAGTGTTGTAACCACTAGTGTCCTCTCGTATCTTGCATTAAAATGTGTTTGTGTGATAAGTGTTACAGTGGGTGACAGTGTAAGAAGAGTAGACATATTTACTTGCTCTTAAAAGAATGCAAGAGCACTTCACTCTTTCAACAGTGTAACCAAAAAAATCATGTGTATTTGTTTTGTGAAGAAAATGCTCTTGAGTGACTTGTATTTGCACAATAGGAATTAACTGTAAAAGTTTAGTTTTACCTTTGCGGGAAGAAACATGTTAGAGTATTTATTGTCAAGATTGACACATCCAAGAGTGTGATTTGTATGTTTTCCAGTGAATTCTGTACAATACAGTAAGGATTGGGCTATAAAGAGACTTTGTTAGAAGCCAAATGCATACCCTCTCCTGCAGGATGGAAATGTGAAGGAGAAGAAAGTAGATTAGTTTAAACAATGTGTAGTCCTTTCCATACTTTGTCATGAAAAGGGCTACTTTCTCTCGTCCTTTCCATTGGTTGTTGTAATGGGGGAAAAAGGCTGGATGTATTGGGAGTAAATGTATTGTAGGAGATTGACATATATAAAAATACTTTACAGATGTAAATACATTTCAGCAAGGTACACAAGTTAACCTTATCATTTGATGGTTCTTAAAATGCAGATGGTAAATTGTTTGTTTGATTTTTTAAAAGTTTTTGTTATGTTGATATTCAGTCTTCTAAAAAGATGCTGTCGGTTTGCAGATAATTAATTTCATTTTGTTGACCAAATTGTAATTGATACTGTTTCATAATTCATTTAACTTGTACTATAAAAGTTATTTCAAATTTGAGATTTTTAAAAGACGGTCTGCAAATAAGTGGTGTCTTTCTTCATATAACTTGTTTGTGAACAGTTGAAAACATCTTTGTAAAATTTCTTTATCACAGAAAATTATTAAAATTTTCATGATGTAAATATTGTGCAGGTTCCTTTAAAATCTACCTTTGTGTTTGCCCTTTAAATCCTTTTGTTGAGAAAACTGTTAAAAATCAGCTAAAAATGTGCTGAAACTGATTTGAACGGCAGAACAATTTGTTATTCATTAGTAGAAAAACTTGATTTTACAACATTTCAGGTTTAACTATACACTCATACTGATTTTTCTAATAACATTTTTAATTCTTGTGCAAGTTCTTGATTGAGTAATATTGGCCATAGTCAACATTTGTAGCTCATTTCATGTTGAACCATGTTCTGATATTACCCTCTAAATCCTTTTTGTAATAAGAATCACCTCTGGCTATTGGATGCTAAAGAATAAAGTCAAACATTAAATATTTTTGTACAGTTCAGAACTGTAAATTTTGTTTACTTATATAAACTTCTTAATTTGACTTCTACATAACCACAATGACCAATAAATTTCACATGTAATGACAAATATGTATCATGGCAATTTGATACTTTTTTTTTTTTTAACGTTTTTCATTTCCTTGATCCTGTGATATGTAGAATACTGAATCTTTATTATAGTAAGCATAATTAACAAAATATTTTACTTTAGAATGTATCTGGACATTTATGTCGAGTGGTAAAAAAGATCAGAATGCATTGAATCATCAGTTGCTCCTCATATTTGGTTATTTGTCATATGTAGGAGAAAAAGTCTTCTTGATGTATTCTGAGTGGTACATCCGGGCACCAAAGAGAGATAACTAATAGATTGCTAGTAGGGATGAGTATTATCAGAGGGGATCAAAAATATTGCTCTTCTGTTTTTGAAATCACATGTTTACAAGGTCACACCAGTTAATGAAATTTGAAAGTGAAAACAGTTACAGAAACATCTTTGTATCCTTTTAGCCCAAGAGCTGTTATACTAGTTGTTCCATGCAGTACTTCGTTTTGGTCTGCACATGTGACAAAGAAATCAAGAGACATTTTACTGTATTCATCTACTGTCAAAAGAATAAGTAATGAATTGAGATTAACAAGTGACCAAAAGTTGCTCTTTGGTGCTTGTTGTCTAATATCCAAATAAATGTTTTGCCAGCTTCCACAACAAGGTATGCTGTGATACGATATAAAGGTAAAACCTCCATAGATATAGAGCAGTGCTTGCTCTGCCAATGTCTGGTGACTATTGCCTCAATGAGCTGAGTATGCAACCCATGCATCCTTTATTGACTGGAAGCGGAAGTAAATTTTTCAGATAAATGTAGATCTTTGTTTGTGTAAACAAATTGTATGACAGCTGAGCATATGTTCCTTTTTTCATTCAGTGAGCAGATTCCAAGAATGTGAATTTTGTGTTCCACTTTCACTACACATAACTGAAAAAGTAGGGTTGTTCTACTTTTGTTCGGACAATCACTGAAGAATTTTTCAAGTTGTTTGATGTTAGATGGAATAAAATTTCTTTACCTTTAGACAATGGCACAAAATGTAAATTAAATGTCATGGTTTTCATTGGAATTTTGATTTCCAGTGAATTATATATTCTGTGCCTCTTTCCATTTCTAAATAAGTTATACTGTTGCAGTATAGATTGTTTAGCAAGAGTGCTTCAGAAAACTACGAATACTGTAGGAAGTAATGATTTGAAAAAATTTTAATGTGTGTGAATATTTTGGAGCTCACTGGGTACTCTTAAAGCATTTTTATCATTAAATATGTAAGTATTGTATGGTTCAGTTGTGCTGACCATAAGTTCAATTGACAAATATTTTCATTCCCTTTCAGATTATTTATGTAATTGTTTGCTATGTGTTTTGAGTTTGAAAACTGTTTATTTAAGACATTGTTTTAATTTTCATTAAAAAAATATTGTAGTGTATGTATTTAATTGAATGTTTCTATTGAAATGTTTTTCATGTGTAAGGTACTACTTGAAATTATCTTTGGAAAAAATATATTAATTGTAAATGTATTGAAGATAATACAAATAAATTTTGTGGTCGGAAAACTAATTTAAAATGTTACTTGGTTGTATGTTCTGTGATAAAATAATACTCATTAATTTGGTATACACATCCCACTCTGCCAATGGAAACTCAATGTGCTATAGAATGGTGCACATACCTCTAATTATTTTCTGATTCTTTATAGTCTGGGCTAGCTTTTGGGGTTTGCCACACCCTTTTTCCAGCAACGAATTCTATTGCTTCATAAAGGAAATATTTTCTCAATTTTTCGGTCCCCTAATAGTATGATTAAATACTTGTATAGGGGTGAAACCTAGTTCTGTAAGGAAATAATTCATTGAAAATTCAGAAGGTTTTTGAGAAAATGCCCTGCGAATATTGTCATTGTTAAAATTTATTCACATTTGTTTCTCATCAATTAAGGTACGGTTACTGTTCCTATCAGAAAAATTGCAAATGTGCAGCGTGGGTGCTTCATTTGAACTTTTTCAAGTGAGTGTTGAAATTGTAATTTTATGTAAATTATCCCCAATACAGGCTCAAAAGCCTTTTTGAAACAATTTTTATATAATCTTTGCAAAAATTGTTTTGAGTTTTCCAAAACCGTTTGAAACACTTCTCTCACAAATGTAATAATGCAAATAAATAACACCGGAATGTAAAAAGAAACGACGCAATGTGAAATTTATTTAAACTAGACGTTTTTCAACAGTTCATACTCGCGTTATTGAGGACGGTTTTGTAATATTCCAATTCCTGTTCTCGCATGACAGCGAGATTACGAATTACTTTTCAGGGCTTTCTTAGGCAAAATCCAAGTACATTTTTATTTAGTTTAAAATAGTACATGTCCATTGTGCCGGGGTCACGGTTAGAATGACAGAATTTACGATACTTCAACATTACTTGCGGGAGGTCAATTATCAGAACTGATTGGGACCAGGTGTAGTTCGGCTATTCGATAATTCGGATAACCCCGAATCAGGGCCCGATACTCCCCAATCGATCTTGGCTGCTGTCGCGGCTCCTTGAATTTGAAATCAATAATTTAATTTTGGTTGGTGCTTTACAAGAATCCTCGAGGACACTCAAAAATTGATTAAACTTTGTTATGGGAAAGGACGTTTAAGAGAATGGCGCAGGTCTCTTGTCCGTTGAAAACAATGATTTTTTTAAAATTGAAAAAATCAAAATTTGTTCGGCGTCTTCCAACAATTACAATGAATTGGGTTCATGAAAAATTAATCTAAAAATAAAGTCACGTTCAATTTTTAAGAAACGAGTATTTTTTGGATAATTTTGTGTCAGACGGGCAGTTTTTATTTTTTTAACTGTACAATATTTTTTATCACAATTACACCTTATATAGCGTATTGAACGCTTAAGAGAATGGTGCTGGACTCATGTTCGTTAAAATGCCTGATATTTCAAAAACATTTAAAAAAATTAAAACGTTTCGGCGTCTTCCTACAACTACAATTGTGAAGTTACATTTTTTTCTTATTGAAATATGTTCATGAAAAACATCTTCAATTAAGGTCATGTTGATTTTTTTGAAAATATAAATATTTGTGTAATTTGGCGACAAACATTATCTCCTGCACCGAATTTACTGCGCTTTGTGAACGTGATTCCAGGCAGTTGGATGCTACGTAAGTTGGAATTTGTATATTATTTCACATTTCTTTGTTTCTTACATTCGACCTTCTTTTATACAGTTACACATCTTTTAGAAATTATTTGAAATAACTAGTGCTCTAACAGCACGCACTTTCTCGTGATCAATTGTCAATGGTACCAGGTTCTTTGAAGGTTGATACTGGGATATACATTTAATCATCTGGCAACGCTGTTTGGATGCTACGTAAGTTAGAATTTGTCTACCTCTTAATTCATAGTTCTTTGTTCGTATCTTACATCCGAGCTTTTGTTACGTGTTTACAAATTAATATTTTAGAAATGATTAAAAACCTATTTGATAATCCATATTTTTTGTCCGTGTTGCGAGGAATGTATTTGCATTTTCAATGTATTTTGTGTATTTTCTTAAGCATCGCAAACCTAATTGAAATTAACCAATAAGGTTTTCTCTATTATAAATACTATTTAAATGGCAATATATGTATAAAGAAAAATGCTAGGCCTTTAGGAAATATCAGCTTACAGGAGAGAAATAAACAAATTTTAAAAAAGAAATGAGCAAGCATAGAAAATAGCGAATAAGCACCATTTGTAGAAACAAGGCATTTTCGTCGAGTTTATAGAAAACTGATTTGCATTGGCAAAGAACTTCAGATTTGATTCTCCTGAATTGCCAAAAATGCAACTCGCCCCCAGCTCTACTCCTCTACAAGCAAAAGGAGAGTTAACAAACGTGCGCGCAGTGAAGCTACATATTTATGTCCAGAGCAAAGCAAGGGGCCATCTCAGCATTTGCTCAATGGATCAGGGAAACTGGGCAAAACTTGATTGAGAGGAGTACACAAAACTTCTCAATTTTCGAAAAATTGAACAAAATCTTACTTAAAGATTTCATTAAAAAGAACAGATTTCATTAAAAATACTTTTCAATATTGTAGTTGTTGGAACATGCTAAATATAATAGTGCTTTTAAATTTTCGAACACTCGAGAGTTGAACAAATATGGGAACTGAGATTTATCATATTTTTTTAAAATCAAGGACCACTCAATAGAAGATTTTTGATGAAAAATTGTGTGTTTCCTCTCTAGAATTGCTTTCTCTTTACCACGTAAGTATATGAAAGGTGGGAAAGTAAATGTTCATGTATATATGACTTGGCGTAGCTCTAGTTGTGGGCAAATAACATCCAGAAATTTTCTGTTTCTTGTGAAAATACATTTTAAGTTCCAAAATTTAGCAAATGTCTACATTTTCTTACCCACCTAATTAAAATTAATGGTGAAATCACTGACTCTGTAGTTGATAACGTTTTGTTTATATTTTCTTCTGGCTTTATTTTCCTTTATAAAATAGAAAATTACATTGCATCCAATTGTAAAGTAATTTATTTGCAAAATTGATACAATTTTATGACATGTTTTTTCTGCGTTTTTATTGATAGTATACATTTCTTTATTCACAACATGCATATCAAAATAACAATGCACTGCATTTAAATAGCACCTATGAATGTTCATGATGAATAAGATATGATTGCAGAAGTCGTCCGATTTAGCTTTGTAAAAATTAATAAACTTAAATCTTGTCAAAACATTTAGTCTCAAAACAGTAATGTTCTGGGATACTCTATGTTGTGAGTAAAAGTGTCTTCTGTTAAACAGTTTGTTGTTTTCCACAGAAAATGTGAGTCGTATTGAACACGACATGACCATTATCACTTTCTTATAATTGGACATTTTAAAATTGTCTGTAATGATAGTTCCTTCAAAATTATTTATGAATATAGATGTTTTTCTTTTCATTTCAATAACATTATTTCAATCTTTATTTCATTTTAGGTTTGATGATAAATCGTCTCCAGATTAATTTGGGAAAAACAGCCTTTTAATGTTTTAAATCTCCAAAGCAACACGTCTGATATTGAAGTCCTTGACTTTCTGGCAATGCACTTTAAAGCTAAGTGTTGTTTGTACGCAATACACGGACCATATCTCTCGCAATGCGGTGGAGTCCAGCGCCTCAGTGCTCCACGCCTGAAACAATGCACTACGGTCACTTGTCTCTGAGAAGCAGTGGTGGCCAATGGGAAGTCACTTGCACTGCACCGTCCGTGTTGGTCGTGGCGGTCTCGTGAGCGCGCACGCCGACGGTGGGCTGCTGGCGGGGGCTCGGACACCACGATGACGGCCTACGCGGCGGGAAACAGCGTATCGAAGGGAAACTTGAGGAAGACCTTGTTGGCGCTGCCGCGCATACCTTGTCCACGCCTCGTTGGCGAACGGCAGCAGCTCTTCGTAGATAACGGGCAGAAAGTCGTTGGCGAACTGCAGCGCCGCTCGATCTGGCGACGTAAGTAAGACATTCAGCTATTTTTTACGCCGGCCAATTCACACGCAGTAGCCACTTGGTTGCCCTGGAGACGCCGCATTTGCTTGAAGAAGATCACAAAATAGCGACCGAAACGTTGGCATCACTGCCTAGGACGTGGCATCTTCCGGACGGTGAAGTAGTATTAGCAGCAGAAGCCTACGCTCTTAATTACACTGCATGCCCCAAGTAAAAAAGGTATTACATTTATTTTCAGAAGCAAATAGGTATTGCAGTTTTTACTCTGCAGATTTAGGGAAACTGAATATGTTGAAATCAGGCTATGTCAGCATTAAGATGCTCTTTACAATTTAAGCCAGGTTGTATGTAAGGAAATGAAAATGCGATTATTAAGATATAATGGTCATAGTTAAATTGGGTTAAATATAGTCACGTGTAATTGTAAACGCCGAACAGACATAAAACACATTCGAATTTTTAACGATTTTGAGTGAATCAGAAGGCAAGGTGTAAATAATCTAATGTAATTCAGGGTCAGTATTTTGTGGCCATTGAAGCGATATTGCTTATTTGTTTTATATGCCATGGTTGAAGTCCGAAATATGACTTATTTTAGACTGCCATGTTTCATTGCACATTCGTCACCTAGTATGGTTAAAACTGTGAGAATGACGCTGAACGTATCATTTTGACTTTATCCGGCCGTGTACGAAGATTGCCTTTATGTTTGGGATTTCGCAACCCTGGTGTTCAATCTGGCAACTGACATCTATCGTAAAGTCGATGTTTTGAGGTTATACGTACTCAGAAGTTTGACATACGAGCGCTATTTGTGTGTTTCAGTAATTAAAGTTTCATCTTGGCCTATCGGAGATTGAGACAACCTTAGGCATTAGTGGGACCAGCTATCGTTCAATAGTGCATGAAATTTGACTGTCAAAAACATTTGTTCGCGTTAGATCCACACAATTTGTCAATCGCTAAAAAAAAAGTCGCGTGTCGATTGGTAGAAGAAATGCTCAAAAATACGATCGGTGCTTCGAAACACGTCTGTGACAGGTGATAATCGTGAATTTACGCGTATGGGCCCGAAGGAAAACAGCAGTCGACTGTATGGGTGTTTCAAGATGAGCAAAATCCAATAAAAGTTGTTCGCGCCACAAAGCACTTCCAAACAGATGGTCGTGTTTTTTCGGAAAAACTGGACATGTCGCAACCGCAACCACTAGAAACGCAGAACAGTCAATTCTGAGTGTACACAACGATTTGTTTGCCAGCTATCTTCCAAGAAATCAGAAAACCAACTGCGAAGACGGATCACTCTTCACCACGACAATGGAGCTCTCACACATCGGCTCAAACAACTGCATTTTTGAGCACCCAAAACATCGATTTGATGGGTTCATCCGCCGTATAGTCCTGACTTGGCACGAATGACTTCTTTTTATTCCGGTTATGTAAAAATCAACTGAGAGGCCAACGTTTTTCGACACCTGAAGAAGCGGTTGCTGCATTCAGAATGCATGTTTTGGAGATACCTCAATCAAAGTGGCAAAAGTGTCTTCGACAATTGGTTCAAACGCATGTAAAAGTATATTGAGTCTTCATGGGGAATATTTTGGAAAACAATAAAGGTGATTTCGATGATATGTGTTTTGTTCTCTAATCCTTAAATAGTAAACAGGCAACCCTCGTATCTGCCACATAACAGGCAAGTTAGGTGATTGTCAGAGTGAAGCGCCATGGGTTTTCGCGAGAAGTATTTTAGCAATCAATTATGTTGGAAAGTAAGCATTGCACAGAGTCAAGGTTGTTTTATTGATATTGCCATGGCCGGAAGCTCATCGCCAACTCGGAAATGCTCAGCGCAGCGACAAACGATGTATAACGAGCTTAGGTTTGGTGCTATCGAATCACAAGAAATGTAATACCAACGCCGTGGAACTCGAAACTTCATACCTTATCTTTTGTTAGACTTATAAACTTTCCGCCGGCAGCCTGTTTACCACTTACCTTCTATAATAATAATAATAATAATAATAATAATAATAATAATAATAAT